TTCGTTCTTACCGCCTTATTAGGGATGAAAAACACGAGGCATTTTAGTTGTCTATGAATGTAAAACCTTTGGTCCGTTTTACCAGGTCTTAAGAACAGAGCGAAAAACCTACGGCATCTCACTTTCTTTGCTCTCCTCGGATGTATATATATATATATATATATACCACCGATTTGTGAAAAAGTATGGTGCCAAAGCAACAACAGGAATAACAGAAAAAGAGGAAAGTATTCAGATATATAGAACCGTTGAATGGGGGGGTAACAAGATAAACATGTTTTTATTTGCTCCACTGTGCAGCTTTGATATTTTTTGCATTGGTTTATTGTTTTTCTTTGTGGGGCGCGGGATTTCAACAGTCAGACGGCACGGAATCCGCGCTACTGGGTTCTATTCAGTGAAGCAATGCTGATCTAGTTACGTCATCCCATTTTTTGTCCAACGAGGCTTTTAGCGCAATCGTTCAAATGGGCGTCGTATTGATTGTGGAACTTAATTTTATCCACCATTAGCTCATTCAGTCCCCTGTTTCTTTCACCGAAAACAATTTGAAAAAATCGTATTAGTCTTAAATATACGAATGTTTGCGGGTTAGTTTTACTCTGTCATTTTTGTGAATCAGCCTCAATGGGTTAGCAGACCGGAGGGGACAAAACTGAGTGCGGAGCCTTAGTTACGCTTTTTGCCGTGTTGCACTGCATTGTGTACTGCAATCTTGATAAATGTACCGTCTAGATGAAGTCGACAACAGTTCCATGTGGTGAACTACAATGCAGTCTCTCACATAACCGTGTTTTACTCAATTAAGTAACATTGTCTCCGAACTATGCTGAGGCTCGCATGTAAACCCTCAAAGGTTCACATCAAACGAATTCCATTATTGATTTGAACTGACTGTCTTTTAGACTACACGCAAAACCCTCATTCCACATTCAGTCAGTTGTACACTCGGCAAGCGCCAAACTGGAGTTTCACGCTCTTTAAAGCTCATCAGTAGTGCACAGCCACGGTCTTATATGGAACGTGAACTCCGGACCCATCGCCTGGAAGCCCTGTGTGCGTTACTACTGTGTCAATCAGCTCACACTGAAGTTAACTAGAATTACCAATTCGTGTTTGTTTCTATGGGATCTTCAGCGAGGATCATTCAGTTCTCCGAGACCGACAGCAGCAAAGGGAGACAGTATATTACACTGTTTTAACTCTAGTTGAAGCCTCCCACTAACGGAGGCCTATTTTACAAGTTTTGGTGTGCTGTCCCAATTTAACCTGCTCCCGGTGAAGGTTGGCCATTTCGAATCAATAAAATCTATCCCACGCCACTACTCACAATCAATCATGAGTGAAATACGGATTCCTGAAGTATTGTGGACCGATGTTAGGATGTGAGACAGATAAATGTTTTGCATGAGTCAATCGTTTCAGGTAAATCAGCAATGCATTCAGGAAGAGGGCACCGACTTTCTAGTTATTTCACACTAAAAGTTCCAATTAAGCTGACACACTGACCGAGTACTCTATTATTGCGCAACTACGTTTCCCAGACAATCAAGGTTGTCAATATCTCGACCTGTCCGTTATTGATACGAGATCTTCAGAACAGTCTTGGACAAAGACAGTTTAACAAATAATTAGTTGCCTAAGAAAGGGAGCTAATATTTACTGAGTCATGTTTAAATTTTTCAATCATTGTTTTATATCCACCAGACCGTGGTGGCCCAGTAGTAACGTCACCAACTTGTCACCCCGGAGGACAACCACAACCACCGTCCGACTTTCTCCATTTGTGTGTTGCATGGCAGCTCTTTGATTGATCAATTCCCCCTCCTGACAATTGGTTCTTTGTTCATTCAATAAAACAACGTAACAATGAGAAAGAAAAGACAAGAAAAAAGATAACAACGGTCTCAACTTGTGAAGCTTTGCGTGCCCAAATCCAAAGCATCACACACACTGGTTGTCTGTGTGGTCCTGGCGATAACCGATCGGGAATACGCAGCTGTGCGGTATATTCAGGGCTCGGTGTGTGCGTCTGTCTGTGGTGGGATACGTTTATACTGCCTGATCAATCATCTTCAATCAACTGTTTGTTCTCCGATCACTATGATTACTCGATGAAGCATGTGTTTTGAACCATTTGGAGAGCATTTATCTATATGTAATTTGGAAGAATTATTAATTTCTTTGATCGATCCCATCAAGTCAATCAATTTTCATTGATGCAATTCATGTTAGTTTTAAATTTTCCAACTTAAAGGAAAAACTACATTTGACATTGATTTTCAAGCTGAACCTTTTGACGAAACGTGAGTATCAATAAAAAATCAAATGCTTTATTTCATCAGTCAGTTACTTCTTTGTTTGCCGGTACTTTTACCGTGAAAAATGAACGAAAATTGAATCGATCTCTTGCTTATCAGTCAAGCTTTTGAATGCATTGTCAAATCCCCCCCCCCCGGCGATGTTACAAACTTGGCTCCGGATGCAGTAAAGTCCTGAATAGCTTGGGAATAGCAACACAACTTTGTTAAACGCAAGGTTAGTTATTTCTCTCTCAACGTTTCGGTCACCGTTCGGGTGGTCTTGGTCAGGAGTATGAGAATCGGTTAATAATCAATAATCAAAATGGCGAGGAAACAAAGGCCAAATACAGGTCAACGTGTCACTGAATGGGGTGAAACGGCCTGTGTACGTTTGTGTAATAACGACCACCCCAGGTGGCCAAAACGTTAAGAGCAATACAAGTCAAACGTAACGTACAAGTACTTCGACCCTATTCGTACAGAGTGTGGTCCCGATATTACAGATGCACAGTACCTTATAGTCAAATATCATTTAACAACAGATGAAGCAACTTTTATTCTTAGAGTTCCCCGTCGATCCCCATCTATGATCATAAAGCAAAGAGTTTATCGTGTACAGTATCCTTATTGGTTCTGTTCTGTGCATCAGACTATTCAAAGATTAGGTACCTGGGTGATTTTTTCCAGTTAACGGAAAATTAGTCGTACATGTGTTCCTCTTACCATTGTGTTCTCCTGCTACACACTTCACACACACAAACACCAGTGATTAGTAAGCTATTGTTTTCATTTTATCTCGAAGTTAGTGGACTGATCCTACTTCAGGCTTCATCTGTACGTACAATCCTTAGTTGGATTCCCAGTTCGGTCGATGGATTCGCGGGCACCGCTGCCGTGAGACCCAACCAGGTCGAACCAGCTGTCCAGTGAATCAATGCTTCCTAGACTTTATGTTCACACTTAATTTGCCCCATACATTGCACATTCCCCCTATTCAATTGGATCAAATCCTCCTCAGTTTATCNNTTCACGCATCACTTATACGCATGATTGGGGCTAATTTGACCAGATTATTCTCTCTGTTGATTAGGTAAAGCTGGAGTGCTCAGGATGAAGACATACTTCGTACACTTCATGTATCACACCGAAAGTTGTACTGTTTCTATCTCTCTCTCTCTGATAGTATAAGTGAATCTCTATCAAACGAATTCAGTTCTGGGTTCAAACCCGTATGGATTTGGCGAATATGTAGTGTCATTTTTTCTTTATACTGACGAAACAGCCAGCTACATCTATACTCCAAGACAAGTACACGTTAATAGATAAATCAAATTTGCTCAGACGTTCCATATACAGCCTGTTGAAACCAGTGAACTACCATCCTATAGACGTACAGGAGGAGGAAAAGACAAGTAAATCACTCACTAGGATATTACCTGTAGGACTTGTTCTCCTGTCTTCTGTCGAGGGGAATACTTAACTGTGTGCATTCGTCTGTCACACATGCATATCGGTGGAGATCAATAAACAAAGTGAAAAAAGTTTTCGTCAAAATGAATGCCCAGGCACTGGTTATTTGTCCCTCCCCCCCCGTCTTTGGAAGCACAATATCCCTCTAAACAGGTGAACTTTTACGTGCCATGTTATCCCTGACCGATCAATGGTAAAATCCACTCTAGGAAACCATATTTCGCATGATTTCTTTCTTTCATATGAAGTAGAAAGAAGCGAATTTTATAAATGAATTACACTTGTATCATCTGATCAGTGGATTATTATGAACCCCACATGGTCGTTGATCGATAAATGAGTTTCACACTTTAGGTAGAATCCTTTTTAACCAATTGCTTAGACCCATGAAACTTTCACACGGACGTATAGAGTTGTCGTTGTTATTTTATTAAAGTCAATCAAACACTAAATTTGACTTTGTTCATGTCACATGCTGACCACTGATTATCATGTGGCTCTTGCATTATCCTTGATTGCACAGCACCAGGAGGAGAAAATCCGATAATGGGGTCAAATATGGCTAGTAGACCCGACCCGCATCCTATTCATTTACCTCACTTCCAACCTCAATTTACCGAGAATGGTGGACAACCGCTTCCAAATGAACCATTCCATGGACCGCCGATACTGCAACCAATGAATCCCGAGCCGCACGGCCCTCAACCTTTCGATTTTCACAGACCGCCTGATTTCACCCACCATCATCCTCATCCGTCCGTGCCGATGCCAATCCCAGAGGACAGATTTGCTTGGGGAGAACCGAAACTGCTCTCAGACAAGGGCACCGCTATCAGTACAAAGAAAAAAGGAGATAGTATAACCATTTTGGATGCGGCTGCAATTCCCCTGATCTTTGATGTGGATAATCCAATCACAAGCGGTTGTGTAAAACTTAAATGTCCCAAAACTTGTCCCGGAGATTTACGCAAACTTTCCCCCAAAACTGGGTGTCCCACATGTGACTGTTGTCCTACCATTCAGTGCAATCTGAGCTGCACTTTTGGTTACGATGCAGATGCTAATGGGTGCCCTGTGTGCAAATGTATGACACAATTATGATTAATTTAAATCTAACCAGGTACTAACAATAGTGTTCTGATTTTCTCTAGTGAACTTGTACCGGATTAATATCCAGTGATGATAGAGTGAAGCGCAGAAAACGGATCCTCAAGTCCAGGCAAATAGAACATGAGTTCGGTAGTCCACGTGTATTGAGGCACAGGCAAACAAACAATTTACCTTGAGTTATGAGTAATCCGGTTCGGAAATTAAGCAACACAGGGCAGAATGGAACGGGATTTCAATTCAAGCAACGAGCTAGATACCGTCAGGTCGAAGAACGAGGAACGTCAGAGGGACTGGCGTATCTAATGGGGTTAACTGACCGTCTTTCGGTCCATGTGCACGGTTGTTTATCGGTAACCTATGCGCAGATGCTTCTTCTGGGACACGATATGTAATAGAACAAAATGAAACGGTTCAAATGAGACTTCAAGAGGAAGCGAACAGGTCGCTATAAACAGTTTGACATAGTGACCGTTGCAGAATGAATAATATTCATTTAGGACGGAAGGGTGTACAGGTCACTAAGATGGACGTGAGACAGACTTTCTGGTACCAGCATGTCACCAAAACGTACCATGTTTTCTATAGATCAAATGTGTCGTCAGGAGAGTAGGAGATCAAGGAGTAGGGCAGGAGTAATGTTCCAATTCTGACAGTTGTGGGGATGAGTTACATAATATATATAAAGAAGTACATAAATAAAGTTACCGGTAATGACAGCCAGGGGTGAACAGGTTTCAATGAGTCCATTGATGTGTATCAAATGTGTCGGAGTCAAGTGGTTTTCTAAGAAGCGAATAGGAGCGATAAGCAAAGTCGATCCATATAAACAACAGATACATCCACTACGAGGCGGGATGGTGGTCGAACGGAGGGAGGGCAATAGTGTAACACTGAGTAAATGTTGAAATCGCAAGCGTGGTGAATTTCTCTAATACGTATAGAACTCATGAAAAATTATTTGATGCCATAGATGTATGATTTGGTCCCCATGATGTGTAGTCCGGTCGGTGCAGCCTGCGACCGCCACATCTCAATTTTTAACGAAGCGATGCAATATCAACATTTGTGGAAAATGAAATGTTTCAACATCCGTTGAACTCAGAGTATATTCAAATATCTTTTATCTGACTCGCCTACAGCGGTATGATTAAATTTGTGCGTCGAGGTTAAAGGACTACTGGTCGTGGCTAAAGAATTGCGGGTTTTGACTAAAGTTTGATGGAAAAAGGTGTAGATGTATGAGTTGATCATCACGGTAATAAGAGTGCAGCCGAGAAAAGTATATGTTTCACCTCACAGAAATGAAAAAGTCATTTGGACATTATTTTTCGATGATTTGTCCACAGCATCGGGTTAACTCCCTATATGGTTGTTAGGTTTTTGTTAGTCGTTAGGCGGCGGTGTTCAGATAATGAGATTAGCCACAAATCTCCTCGAGGGTCATAAATTTAAACCCAACCGCCTGCCAATGAATTCCACACGTCGACTTTTATTGACCATCTTTCAAACTCCGAGCAGAATTATCAGTTGATCCACCCAGTCATACTTGCGGAGATGGCCGCATCCCAGTTTCGCTCTTGTTACAGCTCATCATTTGTTCACGACCCCTGGCCGTCTGCGATCGGAACACCGGGTCCTTCGTGCAAACTAGGCAAACAAGCTTACACAAACACAAACGGGCTGATCAGAAAAACGAATTTCATTTTATTCAGAAGTCGTCTTCGTTGATTGTCTTTCAGTTCACCAGGTCCAACAACAGCAGCCAAAGGAGATACAGTTAATCAGCTTACAATCATAATCATTGAATCACGTGGTTGACCTTTCATCAGTTGCTTCTCTCTTACTAAATATGTTTCTTTTTGTAATAAAAATAGCTCGAATCATGCAAAAATGAAATAAACAAATGAACCAAAATAAAGCTCAGTGTGCAGTGTAAGGTTTGAAGAAGCGATTTCTCGACTCAGCCTAATGTGAAGTACCTTCATTTCATTTTCATTTTTACTTCCTTTTATTGAATTTTCAATGTACAATTTTCAAGAGGGGGAAGCGGCCAATCCAAGGGCTGCCATAATGGGGAAAGACAGGCGATAGTGGTGGGAGTCGAACACATCCTCCGGGGTGATAATTGGTGACGTTACTTCCGGGCCACCACCGCCCTTGTGTTTCGTTCCCGGTCAGATTTGTCCGAGTGTTGTTGTCTGGTGTGACTGGTTTTAGCCACACCCTCACATACGTATGACTCACCCTATTGGTAGATGGTAAACCAGGATTTTATTTTTCCGTATCGTCTTGCCGAAGAACTAACTAGCTGCTCACGTTATGTATGGTATTCTTCAACAGTTTATGCCACTCTATACGTAACTGGCTCAGGAATAGATCAGATAGATAGGAATAGGTCATGGAGTGGGAACAGAAAAGAAAACTTTCCCACGGTTCCAATCTATTTATGACTCATATTTCAATGTCTTTTGGGAGTAGTTCATCCGGAGACCCCATCAGAACACCATTTTCCGTAAAATTTGAGTAGTATCAAGGATTAACGAACCAAAGGCACTTCACAAGTCACAAATCACTTTACTCATCCAAACTAATGGATTTTCAGTTCCTTGCACACCCATCAGGGTCATTTATCATCGCATACAATCACAGAGAAGAAAGTAAAATAAAGTATCGTAAATTGATGAGAAAAATGTGGCTTCAAAATGTGAAAATGGATATTGTTCAAATTTTTGTTTGACAGATAAGAATTTTGTATGTCGATTGTGAAAAGTTCAGTAGCCCAGGTGGGATTCGAACCCACGCATGGACGCCGACTACCCTTTAAACGCGCGTGCTCTACCAGCTGAGCTACGTGGCCACACCGATAGCACTGATCTATGGATATTATTTACATGGGATTATCCAAAGTTTCCGGATATTTTCGGTATCCGAAATCTCGAAAGATATGGGATAACGGACCAACGGTAGGCAGTGGTACGAGTATATGTACACAGGTTTATGACGGCATCTAGATACAGAAATGGATATACATTGTTTAAGTTCTGTACATAATGGGTGTGTGATATCTGATGGAATACTGTTGCATAAATTTCCACAAGAGATAAAATGTTTGTTGGCGATAAAGTTGAGCAAACGTAGATAGGGAATAGCGCTTGTGAGTGAAAACATTTTTATAGACCAGAGTAGACTTATAGTTTTAACTCCAAGACCATTTTTTTGGGTAACCAATATATCTCGATATATATAACATACTGCGGTGCCATAATCGGTCCGAGCGAATTCTTATTTTCGAGTTTCTTCCGTTATGTAACCGACCATTAAAGCCTTAGAGTTTGGAGAAGTGATGTGGTATTGCACGGAGCAGAGGTAAAACTCAAACAAACAAAGCCATCAAGTCTTCCAACTCGACGCGTTATGCTGCCAGTTGAGGCTAAAACCTTTCAGAACCAATCACTCACCATCGGGCTTGTGATCAGTGAGCGCACTGTTATGCTAACTTGCTCTAGCGTCGCTTTCAAGAAAGTCTTCAGTTTGACGAGAAAACTTCTGTCGGAGAGATGTCAATTTACGTGGCTGATCAATAACTCCCCGAGTTGGTGTTGTGATTCTAGCTTGAGAGATGACGCAAACCACGGGGCGGCACGTTATAGTTTCCGGACAATTGCCTTGAGTCAAGCTTCCCAGGTGACGCCAACAAAGCGCCTACGCGTTACAGCTTCTAGACTGCAAACCAGAGGACTATTGTAGCGACCAATCAGGATTCGTGCAACTCAGACAGAATCTGTACGACGCCAGAAATACAAGCATACGATTGGTAGATGCCTGGATGATCAATGAACTTCTTTTGTACATATTCTATAAACTCTATGATTTCTCCCAATAAATGAACTGCTACCACTGTGTCCTTTTTCTTTCTTTTCGGTTACGTGCGATACCGTCGAGCAAGTGCCAGTGTGATTCAGTGCTTACGTGGCATCCGTGATTTCTGGTACGTGATTCACAATTCGTACTCGGTGCGTACTTGAACTACTACAGTTGGTTTGTCGTCGCGTGGAGATCAGGGGTGCCAGCAGAGTATTTGATCCCCGTGAAAGTAACGATTTTCTGATGCATGACATGGATATTACGGCATTGACATTGGAGAACTGCTCATCTAAGTCTGTATTATGATGAATGGGCAAGGGAAACGTTTGAGTTTTTTCATAAGTGGTTCCACTTTGGTTCCCTCCCGGATATTGCCAACGCGCCCAGATCAACAACAGATAATGCATCTAAAAAGCGTCACCAATCGATTTTCATTATACATCCTCTGGAATATGATTTCTTTTTTGACAATATAAACCAGGGTTTTCCTAGAAGTGCAGAGAGTAATGAAAGGGTGAATCTATCTACGTGCAAAGTTACCAGGCCCGGTGCTTCGAGCTACTTCTACTGTACATTGTTACTGTAGGTATTCACCTGCCAATACCCTATTGGTAACCATGTGAAACTTGACGGTAAATTCATTCAGTGAATAAAATTCCTTTTCCAACTTCTCACTTAGTACAGCTTGCCCGAATTCGGACACACTTTCAACCAAATGAAGAACGTAGAATCCTGTCCATCGGAGTTAAAAGAGCTACGAAAACCTACATTAAACGAGTATAACACCCGAACGGACTAATCGGTTTAAATACTGTGATCCCTTGATTCGCTTCACAAGTACTGCAACAATTTGAATGTTCCAAAATCTTCCGTAATGCACCTCAGTCGTGAATGTAACGTACTTTCCAATCGGATCTGACAATATACAAAATAAGCGTTTGTAAAGAGTGCATTTTTCTATGAACTTTGAGAATGCTCTTTTTTCCAATTTGGTCATGAAGATGTTTGCTGATAGTGAACGTAATGACAAACCTCTAGCTATTAAGCTTTTCTGTCAATCCTTGGCACTATTAAATTGAAATTGCGTTACATGTGCATAAATAGGGAAGTCTCTTGAGAATATAACA